GAAAAGTAAACGCTGTCTTTCTAAAGCAAGACCTTGGGTTTGCTCCTTGTGGCTCTGAAGCCAAAACCAAGGTGGGGGGTGGGGGTAGGAGATGCCTGGGAGGTAGGTCTCAAAATAAAGGAGGACTCTCTACCACTCAGCGTTCTCCAACCCCAAAATGGGTTATTAAAAAAAATACTGCATTTACTTCTACCATTTTGGAGAGTCACAAACTTCCTTTAATTTGGGTCTGTAAGTCTTATTTCAGTCATGCTATTGGAGCGTGGTTGCTATAAACGTCTGCAGCCTGGGACCATTGCAAACAATCTCCTGGGAAGCAGTGAGCCCCCTGTCTCTGTAAGGGTCCAGCAAAGGCTGAGCCGCTCAAGAATAGTGCAGAGCTGCCCTGGCTGGTTTGGTTTAGTGGACAGAGGGTCAGTCTGAGGGTCCCAGATTTGATTCCGGCCAAGGGCACATGCCCAGGTTGTGGGCTTGATCACCAGTAGGGGTCGTGCAGAAGGCAGCCTATCAATGATTCTCTTTCATCATTGATGTTCCTGTCTCTCCCTCTCCCTTCCTCTTTGAAATCAATAAATAAATATATTAAAAAAAAAAAAAAAAAAGAATATGGCAGAGCAGGAATATCTGCTCTGGGAGGAATAAGGCTTCCTTCAACTCAGATTCTCTGCGGGCTCAGCCTTAGACCCGGAGAGGAGCTTGGGCTTGCCAAAGGGCAGGGGTTTTTTTTTTGTTTTTTTTTTTTAAACCTGGGCCATCGAACCCCTGAAGTGTGCACGTGGGAATGCATTTATTCTGGTCTGGGGATCTCTGGCTTTGAACAAACACTTGAGAGTTGAGAAGCATCAACATAGACCATTCTTTCCTCTAGCTGCATCCACCAGGGGATCTGGTGAGATGGTTTGCTGACACCAGTGGTTCTGAAACGTAGCTAGCATGAGAATCACCCGGGGGCTTGTTGAAATGCAGCTTGCTGAGCCCCACACGCAGTGGTTCTGAAATGACTCGGTAGGTTCGACATTGGGGCTGAGCCTCACAGGTTTAAGGCAGTGTTTCCTGGGGCTGGTCTGGGGACCATCCTTCCAGAACCACTGGTTTATATCAAAGCGCTTTACTGATTTAAAAAAAAAAAAAAAAAAAAGAAAGGGCAGGGTGGGTCGACTTGCCCGAAAGCTCCCTGCTGCGATGCTAATTCCCACCCACACATCGGCCCCTTGCAACTCAATCCGCCCCCTGCCCTCCTAGCCCCTGCGCCAAATCCTAAATCAGCTGCTCTCAGGTCTAAAAATACCTTCCTGCCCCCAGGACAGCTGAGGGGCTCAGGCTTTTTTCTGAGGTAAGAATAGCTGGCTCTTTAGAGTGCATTTCGGTAAGAGGGCCATCGGCCAGTATAGAAACATGCGGCTGCTCTAACTTCAATGCTTACGGCAGCTTTAGCTCTGAATGTATTAAGGCTCCATCATTCATGAAAGGGCACTGGGTAGGTTAAGTATGTGTCTGTCCGGGGTGGTAAGTAACTTACCTTTTTTGGTATCGTTCTAGAGTGGATACTGGTTAAAATTACCCCAGGACGCTTCGGCCTGGCTCCAGGCACATGGAAAACAGATTTCTTGTGCCAGCCCATGCTGATGCCTCCAGCAACCGTGTCTCTTCCCTGGGAGTGGGGTGGGGTGTGTGTGTGTGTACTTGTCTCTGAGGCCCCCACAGCCTGCTCTTCAGGCCTCAAGACTTGAGCCAAGGCCTGTTTGTGGGGTGAGGGCGCGGGGAGATGTGAGAGGCAGGACAGTAGCTCTGGGCCTGGGAGGAGACCCCGGGTGCTCTGGGACAGGGATTGGGCAGGGAAACTCCTCACCTGCTAGGACCCTCCCAGAGCGCCAGACACACAGAGATATTGTGTGTCTGGCGCTCTGGGAGGGCCAGACACACAATATCTAATATCAAGCTAGTTTATTGGTTTTATATGGAGATTGGCATTTCCTCTTTCCAGGCTTCAGCTTTTTCATCTGGAGCTTGGTCTCAGGAGCCTGGGTGGGTAGCTGGCCCTCCCCTGCCTCCTGGTCTAAAGGCAGCGACAGGGAGCTCGGAGCCTTTGGAGAACCGGGTCCACACGGTACCCCTGACCTCCTCTGGTCTGAGTTTTAATGTGTCCCCTGCTTTCCACTCTCTGCTGAGAGTCCCCCAACTCCGTAAGAACAGGGGCCTCATCTGTCAACTTCAGTGCTGCATCCCCAGCACCTAGCACAGTGCCACATGCGAAATAGGGGTGCAGGCCTTGGTGAATGAATGCATGCAGGCATTCATGCCAGGAGGCCTGGCAGGGAGGGGCCGGGGGGAAAGAGAGTGGGGAGGGGCGCGAAAGATCTGCCCCTAGCTCTCTCTGTTGCTTTTTCAAAGGTGGGTCAGGAGCAAGGCATTCCTCCCTCCCCACCGTTCTTCTCCCACTCCCAACTCCACCCTTCACAGCCCTCCTCCCACCAAGGAGCCGAAATCCTGCTTGAGCCACCTGCTCCAGGGGTGAAGTTCCTTTGAGGAGTTCTGAACACATACTATATTGCCCCCAGGACGAATGGGAATGTGGGGACCTCCTTCCTGTTTTGTTTGGCAGCTGATAGGATTGTCTTTGCAAATGCTCACTCTTCTCCCAGGGGGCGGTGGGTCCCTGGGGGCTTCTGGTGGGCCTGGAGGCAAAGGTTCCCCCTGGTTCTCATGCTCCCTTCTGCTGCCTTCAGAAACCTCTGCCCTCTCCTTGAAGGTGGAAAGGTGGTGAGAAGCAGCTCTCAGGTTTGGGCCTGGGGGAGTGGGCAGCGTGGGCATTTTGGCCCAGTTTGGCTCTGAGCTGTTCAGGCCTGCATACCCAGACAAAGGAAGTTTCTGAAGCAGCAGCCAGCTCCACAGCACTCAAGCTGGGCATGGAGCCAGGCCAGCTTCGGGGATCAAATGTAACTGCCCTGGTTTGCCTCTTTTGTGCACATCCTTAGGGATGCAAGAGGGGGATGGTTATCAGAGACACATTTGTTGGTCTTGATCCTCTGGCCCAATACCTGTGATCACTGGTTACTCCATGAAAGCCCGAGGCATCTTCCTGTTGACTATAAACTGTGAAAGGACGCCATTTCACACTGATTTCACTGGACTTGATAAAAGGGAAAGGTCACAGCCCCATCCTACCTGTGGCTGACATTGTGCTTCTCCCCAACACCCCTTCCACCCCTCTGCCCTGGTACTTTGGATGAGACCACTTCTGCTCGAGGGGTGGGGCCTGACTGTCCTAAGCCAATCAGCCTGAGCATTCACTTGGCCACAGGAATTGGTTCAGCAGGGGCCCAACTGGCCCAGAGCCCAGACTTTAGCTCAGGGGTCGTGGGAGAAGATCATGTCGCTCTGGGAGCTGTTGGCAGCCGTCCTTGACCATGAGAGAAGTAATGGCGCTGGCACGGCACAGTGCCCTGAGCTGGGACCAGTAAAACCCTTTTATTGCTTAAGGCCGTCTGAGTTTGGTTTCCTACTGCGTCAACCAAACGCATTCTTACCGAGGCATCAACTTCAAAATTCTTGTAGTAACCAAGGGCATGTTTCTCTAACTCTAAAGGCACCAACTCTTTAATGACCGCTCCCATCACCTCCTTGGGGTAAAACTTCAGAGCCAGTTTGGGCCTCTGCCTACGTGAAGGGGATATCATCCCATGCTGACCTCAATTAATTAGGAGAAGCTCCAGATTTTAACTCTGTTGTGTGAACTCACCATGAAACCTTAGGCAAATTACTTCCTCCTTTTGGGCTTTTTATCTCCATCTCTTCAAACAAAGGGAAGTTAGCCACAACGTCAGTGTCCCTTAGCAAATGTTGTGTCCTCCTGAGCCCAACCCCAGAGCCAGAGTTAGCAGGTCTGGGTGGGACTTGGGCATCCTAATCATGTTAACCTCTTAACTCCATCCCAACACCTTTTCTGATTTTACTCTGCTGGGGTCAATGCTTGGGGGTCATGTCTGACTGCCTTCCTCCATCTAGGGACTTGTCTCCATGCAAGATATTATACATCATTGTGACATTCCTCAACCCCTGCATAATGGACAGAATGGTCAAGTCCTGCAAGTGCCAAGCAAGTTTTCCTCTTCCTATGGCCTGGTATGCTTCCCATTTTCCAGTGGTTGCCAGGAAGCTTGGAGCTACACTGACAGCCCCTTGGGGGGTAACCAGCTCTTCCTTGGGTCCTACCACAGTCATCTCTCCAACAAATGGTATTGCTGAGAGGCTTGGTGTCTAATAAGTTATTTTTTAAAAAACTGATTTAAGAGCAAGAGGGAAGGAGAGAGAAACATCAATTTGTTGTTCCACTTATTTATGCACTCATTGGTTGATTTTTATATGTGCCCTGACCAGGGATCAAACTAACCTTGGCCAATTGGGACGATGCTCTAATCAACTGAGCTACCTGGCCAGGGGGCAATAAGTTTTAACTAGGCACCTCACATCCAACAAGCCCTCCATAAATAGGAGCTAATATCATGTCTTGTTTCCTGATTTTCCCTTCTTCTTGATTTGTGACCATCTGGTTACACGTGTCATTGTTGGTGTTGCCACAGGTACATTTTGGAGGTAGGCCGTGATAAACAGCAAAGAAACTGGATAGAAGGCAAAGTTCTCTGCCTTCTATTCATTCCCATCATTCTCTCTGTCTCCTACTTACAAAACCAAGTCAGAAGTAGCTGGAGAAGATGGACTTTTATTTCTTCCTTTAGAAAAATAAATAAAATGAATACACTGGCTTGAATTTCCTTCCCTTCTCTTACCCTCTCTCTTAAAAAAAGGAACAATCACTCCAAGAATCCTTAAGACAGAGAGGCAGAGAGCAGGCCACCCGAACCCCCCTGGAGAGACTTCTCTCGACCTGGGAGAGATCAGAAGGAGGCTGGGCAGGTGAGCGTGGCTTGCAAAGCCATGGCCGTTGTGGGGGGTGATCCATCTTCAGCGGGGACAGACATTCCCAGGCTTGCCTGGAGCCCTCATAGTTCAGTCTTCACCTTGTGCATCAAGTCCTTCTGGTCAATTTTGTCTAGGTCCTGGTACCAGCGGTTGTAAGCCAGCAGGGCCACGTTCTTGGCAGCTACGGCCATGACCTCCACGGAGCTGGCCGCCCACTCCAGGGCGTTGAGATGGAAGAGCTGGTCGTGAAGTGCAAAGCGAGGCAGAGTGGTGCGGGAGCCGTGGAGGGGGTGGGCCTGCCACTCGGCTGTCTGCACTGAGTAATAGGAGCGAAAGAGGGTCTTGAGCTGGGACCGGAGGAGAGGCTTGGGGGACTGGACCCGCCAGACGGCTGCCTCCTGAGGCTGCTTCCGCCGGAAGTTGGTGGAGATGTTGACGGGACAGATGTTGTCCAGGGCACAGAAGAATGTGGGGAAATCTGTGGTGAGGATGCTGGCAAAGGGGAAGAGCTTAGGGTCAGAGAACCCGAAGTAGGAAGAGTTGAGGTAGCCGTGGACCAAGGAGATGACGGTGGGCTGGAAAGGGTCCTGCATGACCTCAATGGGTGGGTCGAAGCCTTCAAACACGATGGTGCTGCTGTTGTCCAGGTGCAGGGGTGTGGCGAGGACCACGATGTCGTAGAAATCGAAGCTACTGCCCGCTTCATTCTCATACTTTACCTGGTACAGGGGTTTCCCTTCTGGAAGGAGAGAAGAGAGTACAGAATTCAACTTATTTCTTGGCTTTTACCCATGGATCTCTCATCTGGGGCCCAGAATGGGAGAGACCCTGGGGGTGGCTGGGCTGTCCAGATGGTGGGAATCATCTTTCCATGCAGGTATGGCTGCAGGGCGAGCACTGGACTGGGAGCCAGGAGTCTCAAACTATGGCTCTGCTTCCGCTGCTGACTGTGGCTCAAAATCCTCAGTGGTCAAATGAATAGAACTAGACTGATGCGAATCTGTGTTCTGGCTTTGACATTGGAATTGGGACAACAGTGCCCTCTGGTGTCACTTGACAATGCTGGGACTTCCCATTGGTGTTTTTGGAATCCTCCCAGGCAGATCAAACTGGACTTTGGGGACAGAAGAGGTGTGAGTATTCATTGTCTAGGAATGGGGTGGCCACACCACCTGCTGTCTGCTCACCTGTATGCTGCAGGGTCACCGAGGTCACTGTGGCATGGATCACGTTGGCCTTGGTGAGCTTCAGCAGGCTGGAACAAACCAGCTTGTTGCCTCCCTCCACGGACCACAGGATGCCTTGGGCCCCCGCTAGTGCCATGGCTCCTGGTCAAAGGGGAAAGGGAGTCGGTAGGTTCTCAGAAACACTGGGCAGTAAGTAGGGCTGAAGATTTCATTATCATCCTACCTGGCCTCCCTTCCAGGCCAAGATTCCCCCCAACCATGGGCACAGAGAGACATAACACACAAAATCAAATATAATAAATAAACAATGCTATGAGGTGACAACACTATGCTCAATGCAAGAGCCAGCTACATAAGAACACAGACTGTAATGATTCTATTTATACAGACTATCCAGAATGGGCACATCCATAGAGACACGAAGTAGATTTGTGGTTGCCTAGGGCTGGAGAGCTGGGGGTACTGGGGAGTTGACAGCTAAAGCTGAAGGTTTCTTTTGGGGGCAATGAAAATGTTCAAAATTGTGGAGATGGATGCACAAGGGTGAAAATCATCAAAACCACTCAATTCTATACTCTAATTGGGTGAATTGTGTGATATGTGAATTATATACTGAAGAATACACACGAAATACTAAAAAGGGAACAGGGACGCCCCGTGAGGGGACACGTGGCAGGATCTGAAGACTGGGAAGGAGCTTGCTAATTTCAAACCCTTTCATTCATTTATTCACCAAAAATGAGCTGAGTGCCTACAATGGTACAGGCACTTTCTAAGTGTTAAGGATACATTAGTAAACCAGGGAAAGAGAGAGATTCCTGTCCTCCAGAAGCATAAATTCTAGTAGGAGAAAAATAAGTAAAATAAGCTAGAAGATGATGCCTGCGGGGAAGGGAGACGGGGGCTGCTGGGGGCAAGAGGCAGGGTGAGATAAGGAGATAGGGTAGCTTCAAGACAAGGCAACGCCTGCACAAAGACATGACGGGGAGAGAGTTTAGCACGACAGCGTCTCAGGGAAGACTGTTCCAGGCAGAGGGATGGCCACACAAAAGCCCTAAGGTGAGGAGCACACCTGGGACCCTGGCAACACGGTGAGGAGGCCAGAGTGGCTGGGCTGGGGTGAGCGGGTGGGGAGAGGTGGTGGGGCCTAGACCATGTAGGGCCTTGCAAGCCACTGAGAGGACTTTGGGTTTCACTGGAAGGAAAACAGAAGCCCTGATGCGGTTTCGCAGGCAGACCTGATGCAACTTGTCTTTTGTTTCAAAAGGATCATCTAGCAGATGTGTTGAGAATAGCCTGTAAGGGGCGGGGTGTGGGCGGACCTGGTGGGAGCCTAGCAGTAATTCAGCTGAGGAATGACACTGCCTTACACCGGGGAGGAAGCACTGGTGGGAACCTGCCAGAATCTGGATAGATGAGGAAGTAAAGCAAATGAGGTTTCCTGACCTACCAGGTGGAGGGTATGAGAGAAGGAAATGAGTCAGGATTTGGGCAGGAGCAGCCAGAAGAAGTTACTACCGACCCCGCTGGGAGAGGCAGGCTCCAGGAGGAAAGGCCGGGAGCTCAGGTTCGGCCGTGCTGACTTTGAGACATCCATTAAATGTCCCAGGGGAGGCATCAGGGTGACAGCTGACATGTGAGACTGCAGTTCTGGAGGGAGGTCTGGGCTGGAGGTCATGCTTAGGAGGCAGGTGGGTGGAATTTAATGCCTTGAGACTGGCTGAGCTCACCAAGGGCGTGTGAGAAGAGGACCAAGGACCGAGCTTGGGCCCTTCCATGTTATAAGGCTGGGATAAGAGAGGGGTCCAGCCAAGCAGGTCGCGAGGAGAGCCCAGCAAGTGGCCATGCAATTTTTTGGCCTTAAATGCCCCAGCTCTTCATCCTCCCACTGCCCCAGCAAAATCCTCCCACATCTTCCAGGCCCAGAATGGTGGCCAGGCCTGGGGGAAGACATGCCCAATGGCTCTGCAGGCAGACTTAGCTATGCCCCCTCTTGTGGCCTGTGCTGGAAGACAGTGAGTTGTGCACATGCTCACATGCCCAGTCAAGAGCTGGGAAGATTAGGCGGGCTACTAGATGAATAGCCAGGGTCCAGAGGCTTCCTGGGTAGTTGCTGAAACTAACCTAGTCAGGAGTAGCAAAGCTGAAATCGGTTTGGTTCAGTGGATAGAGCGTTGGCCTGAGCACTGAAAGGTCCCGGGTTCGATTCCGGTCAAGGGCATATATACCTTTGTTGCGGGCACATCCCCAGTAGGAGGTGTGCAAGAGGCAGCTGATCGATGTTTCTCTCTCATCGATGTTCTAACTCTCTATCCCTCTCTCTTCCTCTCTGTAAAAACTCAATAAAATATATTTAAAAAAAAAAAGAAAAAAAAAAGGGAGTAGCAGACACCCATTGGAGCTGAGACATGAGCCTCGCTTTTGCCATCTGTAAAGTGGGGTAAATACATCTCCTGCAGCCTGGAGGACCGATGCCAGAATCCAAAGGGGTAACTAAGTGCTCAGGCAACCGTACTGAGCCAGGTAGGTGTGAGGTTGTTATGGGCAGCCAGCCCATGCTGGGCACTGTGGGCAGGGAAGGGCAGGTGGGCAGGCCGAGGGCCACAGGCTCACCAGCGAAGGCAGGCATGGCTGCTGACTGGCCGTAGCTGGCCCGCAGGACGGCCGAGACGATGTCGTCGATAAAGCGTTGCGTGACGCCCACGTGGAGCAGGGACTCCGCCACGGAGCGCTGGGTCATGTTGATGAAGCTGGACTCCCCCAGCGAGTAGAGCAGCTCCTCCACGCCCGAGAAGGCGTAACCGTGGGCTTGGTACTTATAGATCCTGGGAGACAAAGGGGAGCTGGAGTCCTTATACAGAAAGGCCTTTGTGCAGACCACCCGCCCCTGGGCCACTGCTCCCGGGAGGCCCGGCAGGGACCCACCTTCCTCTCCATGACTACATTCCCCTTGGTCTGTCCACTGGCTGCGGGGGGGCCTGGCCCACCTACAGGGACAGCGCAGAGGGAAGGGCGAATTCCTCAGAATCCCATCAGACCTGGCTTCACCTGGTGGCTCTGCTAAAAGACAACTGCAAGCACGCTGAGCCACTCCCTGTCAAGGGCACAGTCCTCCTCTCACGCAGCTGGGACAGCCAGGCACTAGGCCGCTGCCCCACTGATGCAGCGCCCTCTCCAGTAGCGTCGGCTCTGCCCTGGCTTCTAGGATTACACTGGGCCTGATGGCAGCTGCCCCCTGCCAATATTGTCACCCTCTCTGCCAGCCCAGCCTGTCCTCTCCTTTAGATCTATCAGGACTGCCACCTACTCCCCGAGCTCGCATCTTGCCCCTCCTCCCATAACTCCCCCAATCGCAGGGAGCATGCGCTGATGGGTTTCCGGATGGGCTGGCCTTTGACATGTTGCCTCGGCTTGGGCTGCTGTGTAAAACATGTTGAGTGTGGTTATTAACGGGATACCCAGTTGGATATAACGCTTGGGGACTACATGGAAAATATACAGAGGAGGAGCCATAAAAAACACGGTTAGGAAAGTGGAAAGAGGGGACAGGAAAGAAGGCACCTCTGTACCTGGCCCAGGAGCTGGGGGACCCTTCAGGAGGGACTCTGAAGGAGAGCTGGAGGGCCAGCTGGGCAAGCAGATGAACTGCGAGAAGGGGACAGAGTGACCACAGGCCACTCAACCTTGCTCTCTGGAAGTGATGGGGAGGGACCAAGACCCTAGGAGGAGAGATGGGTGAAGAAAGGTGTTTGTTCGTGGTGGGAAAACTGGAGACAGGAGTGTCAAGGGTTAGCCCGCAGGCTGCACATGGCCTGCAGGTACGTCTCCTTTGGCTAATAAGATGAATTGGTTGCATACATTGAAAAGCTGGGAGATTTCACATACAACTCCAGATTTTCAGCTTCTTCTGAAAAAAAAAAAAAAAACACAAAAAACGGGAAGAACTAGCCAAATGAGGTAGGTCTTCCCCCACGGCCACACGTGGTGGTGGCAAAGGGCCGGCTGCCCCCACTGAAGGTCTTACTCTTCAGGGTGCCCCGCCCCACCCCCTCTCTCCCACCTGCTGTTCTATATCCCCTTTAGGTGCCTGAGTTTACAACCCCTGCTTAGCTTAGCAGAGATAAAGAGGATATGCTATCTTGATTATACCAGAGACCATGCCTATACCAGCTCAGTACATTCCTCCCACGGGGTGCTCGCTTGGGGCCTGGGTGGCATGGTGCTGGGTTCTCAGGCCCAGCAAGTGCCCCTCCCTTTTGGGCAGTGTATGATAACACTCTCCCCCTCTCCCCGGGGAAGCCCCACGGCTCCGCCCAGCCCTACCTCATGAACTTCTCCATGACCTCCTCCACCCACATCTGCAGGCGCAGGAAGCTGATGCCGTAGTGCCACCAGAGGCGGAAGAGGTTCAGCAGGTACCAGTCCGTCTCCTCCAGCACGAAATTCTCCCCGCCGAAGATGGCGCTCCTGCCCACCACCTCTCGCCGGTGTTTCAGCCCTGAGGAGACAAGGAGGGTCCCCTCAGGTCCCCTTCAGAGGGTCCTCCAGGAGACCTCGCAGTGCCTGAAGCTGAAACTCAGGGCCTTTCCAAAAAATGCAAATGGACTGGCTCCCTTGAAGGGACTAGGAACTCTATGGTTCATCCGTCCGTGCTGCTTGTTTAAAATAGTCACCCAGTGCACTGGGGAAAGGTTGGGGCTGGTTAGTCCATAAGGAGAAAAAAAAAAAAGAAAAGAATGTACTATTTTACTTCGTTTTTCCAAAAAAGATCCACTCAGCCATGAGTGAAATTCAGATGCCATCCTGAATGTCAGGGGTGGACAGGTGAGGGATAGCAGCCCTGGGCACCAAGACCACACGGGAAGAATCTCAGCTCCTTGAACCACCCACACTCTGCAGCTTGCAGAGCACAGGCACTGGTGTATCTCACTCCTTCCTCTCACGGCCCGGAAAGAGGCAGGACAGGCGTCAGAGAGGTGAAACCGAGGTTTACAGGCTAAAGGACCTGCCCCAAGTCACAGGTTTTTTTGTCTCCACCCTCCCATTCCTGTCTCTGAGTCACCAGTGCCTTTCTTTGTTCGGCATCCTTCTAGACATATTTTGTGTGCAAATACTCATAAATGTGTATATTTCTGGGTTAGCCCCTCCCTCCTCCCACATACTATATACACTGTCCTGTCCTTTACCGACATGCTGTCTTGGAGATTGTCTTATACCTGGACATAAAGGACGTCCTCCTCTGGCTGACCAGGCTGTGTACCTAAACAATAATTTATTTAACCTCCGATCCCAGTGGGTGGGCAGGTAGATGTCCCACCTTTTGCTATTCTAAACAATGCTGTGAGATAACCTTAAGTGTCTGCCTCTTTTTGCACATGTGCAAATATCACTTCTGAGAAGTGGAATTTCTGCATCCAACAGTATAGGTTTTTGTGGGTTAAATCCCAGCTCTCTCCCTTATTAGCTGCATGGCCTTAGCTGAGGTGCATGCATTTTCTGAGCTCCACTTTCCACAGGAGGAGATATGATTCCCATCTTGCAGGCTGGTAGGGAGGATTAGAGGTAATGGCTATGTATCACCTCCAAGGATGCCAGGTCCCTGGCAAGCACGCAGCAGTACGATGAGCCATTACGATTGTGATTCTGAAGAGGCAGCAGATTGGAAGGGAGAGAAACTGGCCTGGGAGTCATACCTGAGTCGTAATCCCGGCTCTGCAACTAACTCACTGTGTAATTTCAGGTAAGTTCCTTCCCCTCTCTGGTCTCAGCTGCTCCATCTGTAAAATTGAGCTACATGACCTTCTGGCCTTGACGATCAGGGGTGGGCAATGTGGGAAGGGCCTGATGGCTGCCGCCAGCCTCGGGGGGCTGGACGATGGAGCCCCAGGACGGTGCACTCACCCAGGAGCTTGACGAAGTCCTGCATGTGCAGGCTCAGGGAGTGGAAGGAGGCGGCCCCGCTCTCGTAGTGCTGCTTGTTGACTGAGATGGTGGCCAAGCGGCCACCCACCGTCCCCTTCTCAAACACATCGATCTGCACCCGGGGGCCGAAATGCTGCTGAAGGAAGTGTGTCACGGCAGAGCCCCCGATTCCAGCTCCGACCACGGCTGCCAGCAGGCAAGGAGAGACAGAATACGGGCATGAGAGTGCAGGACACAGCTTCATGGCCTCCTGGGCCAGTGATTCCCAGGCATTTGCATGCGGTTAGTTAGAACACCTCGAAAAGGCAACCTGCAGACTAGCTTTTAGTAAAGCGATTACTAACGTGCAAAACTGCCATCTACTATAACCTTCACTTTGTATAAAAAAGAAAAAAAAAAGTCACATTAACAGCCAAAAAGCATGAACCTCAAATTTCAGAATAATCATTTAAAGAGAATAACTTTGGTTTGCTACCAAACTCATTACATCGTTCTTATTTTTATTTCACCATGAAAACCTGGTCACTGACAGGGACTATGAGGTAGATCAGCGTTTGGAAACCATTCTTTAGTCCAAGGTCTGGCAGACTAGAGCTCGTGGGCGAAACCTAGGCAGATGCCTGTTTTTGCAAACAAAGCCTTATTGGAATGCAGCCAAACCTGTTCTTTAGCTTATTGTGTCTGGCTGCTTGCCTGTGAGGCAGAGTTGAGTAGTTGCAACCGAGACTCTAGGCCTGTAAAGTCTAAAATATTTACTCTCTGACCCTTTACTGAAGAAGTCAGCCAACCCTTGGTCTAGTGACTCTAGTCCAACCTATTACCTGATACATCGTTTCTATATCTGTCTTGGCCAGAAAGACTGGAAAGCACCCATTATGGCTTGCTCAGAAGAGTACAGGGCACTTTATTCCAGTTTAGACTCTGGTTACAAAATTTCAGCTCTTTGAGGTCTTTTTGGGTCTTATCATCCCTTGTGTTCCCTACACCTCTTCCCTTCCCAAACTTGGTTCACCGTCAGTACTCTTATTCCAGTCGCTGATGAAACACGTCTCACTGCAGAGCCGTGAGGTGCTACGGGGAACCACCGTCCAGATAGATACTAATCTAGACACGAATCCAAAAGAGGGCTGTGAGAGGACAGCAAGGCAGCTCTGAAGCTACTGAGCTGGCCTGACACCTGACCCGCCATGCATCTAATCTTCTCATCTGACAGTCCAGCTAGTAACTCTAGTCAAAAAGAAAATAAGATAAATCTGGTGTGATTTGTTCCTTCCTGGACCTACGGCGGACCCTAGAGCCACCAGCTCCTGTCCAGTAGGCAAAAACACAAGGCTCTTTATTATCGGGCCTCCACTTATTCCATTCCCTGCCCCACCCTTGCCACCCTCCACACCTTCTTATCTCTGTGGAGCATGTGACGGCTCTCTCGTGCCTCTGCCTTTGACTGCATTGCTCCCTTTACCAGGAATGTGCCATCACCCTGTGCCTGGCTGGCCTCTATGGCCCTCATGCCATTGCTTGGCTTGCCTGGCCCACCTAACTAGTCAGGGGTCCCTCCAGCACATTTCCGCATCACACTGTTTTTACCCTGGGCCTGGGCCTGGGCCTTGGCACGTCCTGCTCAAATGGTCAGTTTAAGGACTGAGAGCAGGTCACTATGCCCCCCAGAGCCTGGCAGGCAGGCAGAGTTCGTTAAGTGTTCGTTGTACCTTGGAAAAAAACAAAACAAAAAAAAACCCCAAACCACTTCCTCCTCCTCAGTATTTACAAAGCCACTTCCAAGAACGCCACTAACCTTTTTGAACCCGTGTGCTCCCCTCCCCTCCATGTGAACAGAGCCTGGAAGCTGCCCAAGGGCCAGAGGGAAGAACACTTCGCTCACTCAACACCCATGAGCTGACACCCACTCTCTGGTCTGTGGTGAGATGTGGTGGGGCACACGGTGGATCAGACAGGGCAGAGAGGGGGCAGAGAGACTCATGCACAATCAGCTATGACAATGTGTGACTAAGGGCGACAACAGGGTCCAGGGAATGCTAAGGAGGAAGCAATGAGTCCTGCCCCCCGGGGGGAGGTGGTGGTGAGGGGTGGAGAGACACAGGTTCACAGGGGAAGGGTTTTTGGTCGGGACCCTGCAGGACAACGGGGAAGCCCATGAGCAGAAACACACTGTCCACAGAGAACAGCGTGAGCAGGGCAGTGTGTGGAACTATGGAGGGCTTAAAAGGTCCAATGCCACACAGAGTTCAGAGGTGACCCTGCAGCAGTCTGAGGGTTAAGCCACGCTAACAGGCAGCTCCTCGTTATCGTGTGAGTAGAGTTCAAACCACCAAGGGTGGACGGAGGCTCCTGTCAGAGAGCTGAGGACAATCAGGAAGCTACAGGGCAGCTGGGCATTGCCAACTGTCCTGCTTTAGATGACCCCTGGGGCGAGGGAGGCAGGGCCAGCTGGAACGAGGCCGGCAGCAAGCTTTGCATTGCCAGGAACAAGAGTGCTGGGAGGAGGCCCTGAGCCTTCCCCAGTGGCCAGTGGGTGTCCTGCTCTGTTGTCCATTCCTGAGAGAAGGAAGCGTGCCCAGCACCTCCAGGTACTGCCTGCCTAACTCCTCCCCATTCTTCAAAGCCCAGCTCAAAACCCACCTTCTCCTCAAGGTTTTCTTTGGCCACGATGTCCGTCAAGATGCTTTCTTTAGAAAACACTAAACTCTCGGTCCCAAATTGATTTCTGACATGCTTCCGTCTGTCTTAACCCTCTGTGGCCTGAGTTGTGGCTTTGTAACCCAAGGTGCCCCAGCACTGAGCTGACCTTAAGTCTGTGGTGCTCCCATAGGACACTCCTCCCTGCCTAGTGGGGCGCACAGAAGGAAGTCGAGTGGAGTAGGGGGCTCCTACTCCCCCACACCAGAAGCCCAACCCCTCTGCCTACCTGTGGAAGTTTTATGTGCGGGACATGACAATCTTCTGAGTCATGTTGAGTTAAAATGACAATTGTTAAGAGATAGAAAAAAAAAACACCTGTAAAAAAATATGGAATGCTAGTCCATGTGATGCATGATGAAGTACGTAGCAAAGTGTCCTGATGCCTGCTGTTTATTTTGAAATCCATTAAAATGTCAGATGGGTTCCTGGGTGTGGACAGGTATGCGGAAAGGCCAGTAGAGTAGCAGTCTGTTAATGGTAGGAACCAGGTGGTGGGTAGAGGGGTGATTGCTGCGTAATTCTTTCAACTTCAGTGAACATTTGACATTTTTCAAAATAAAACAATGGGGGGGTTGTGTGTGTGGGAGGGAGACAGGTAAATCCCACAAAACACAACACACACAAATAAAATGACTGTTATTAAAAAAGTTCCCCACTCTGTCACTCAGCAGATCTCCAGCAGACCTACCCTGGGTCCTGTCTCCACTAGGGCTGCCTCCTACTCTCCTCCCAGACGTCAGGTTTAGGTGCTGCTACCAGAAGCGCCCCGGGGCCCCCATCCCCCAGAGCCATCAGAGGCGGGGGTGAAGCGCCCTTCCTCTATAGCAGGGTACTTACAGCCTGAGCACTAACTTCTCAGTGTTGTGCAGCCTTCTTCTGCAGGAACTAGGAGCGCCCTGCCTGCCACCAGGCCTTCCTTCAATCAGCCTTTGTGACTGCCAATCTCTCACACCCTGACCTCTGTTATCAGGGCACTTGACAAAGAGCCTGGTCCATGGACCGCAGATGCTCACTATTTCTGAATCTTTCGGTGAGATCCCCGGCCAGTCCTGCCCAAGCCTCTTTCCCACCCCAGAGAGCCTGGACCCACGCCCATGCCACCCCCCGCAACAGCACCTTGCCTGCCGAAGTCCCCTTCCGCGACCAGGCGCAACCCCTCGCCTCTCCTCCACCCAGCTCCTCTCCTGGGTACCCCTCCATCGCCCAGCTGCCTTCCCCATCCCCCACCCAGCAGCTGCCGGCTGAGCACCCCTTTCCCGCGCACCCCCCACCCCCTCCACCCCCAGCTCAGCACCCCATCGCGTCCTTCCCGCACCGATTTTACTAGGCCCGGCGTCTCCGCCTGCAGCGGCGGCGGCGGCGAGGAGCGCGGCCAGCGCGGCGAGGAGGCCAGCAGCGCGGGCCATGGCGGGCGGCGGCGGGGGCAGCACGCCGGGTCCGGGGCTCGCGCGTTGGTGCTGGGCTCGCCGTGAGCCCCGCCCGGGAGCAGCATGGGCCGCCCCGCCTCCCAGCCGCCCCGCTCGCGGCCTCTCATTGGACGAGCAGCCGTCCCTCTCCGGCACAGGCTGCATCTCTCCCGGGCAGGCGCTGTCATTGGCAGCTTCCCCGTCCCGCCTCCTGGATCTGGGCTCGTCATTGGTTAGCTGATCCAGGTGTGCACTTTTCGGGTGCTCAGCATCAGGACCTGGGTCCTGCTGCAGGAAGATGGGTGGAAGAGGAAGAACCAAAACTTCGGTTCAAGTCCAGCCTCTGAGAGGGACTCTGTAATGTGCCTCCTCTGTGGCTCAGTCAGTTTCCCTGCTCAGCCTTTCTAGGTGGTTGTGATAATCACGTGACACAAGGAATGTGAAAATGCTTGGTAGTGTCTGCAAATTGCTGACCGAGCATGCAGCCGGGGTTACCCTCTGTAGATTCTTCTGACGCTGCTACTATGTTTATTTGCAGTTTCTACAGAGTTAGTAGCTCTGCCTTCTACTTAAAAACAAGACAAAACAAAAGGGAAGGATTTCATCTACTCACAGTGAAGGAAAGGTAAAAAGGAAGGGATAAATCTATTTTCACCCTCTAAGAAAACAAGACTAGTCAGTGTGGGTAGTTTGCAACACTGAAAGACAGATTTCCTCTAGCAGGAAATAAAATTGGGAATAAATTGCAGGTAAATAAGTAAAATCCATATTCCTTTTATTTCTAAAGACTCAAAATTCCTTAAAATTTTTTTTGAGCAAAGCATTCATTGATAACTGGGAAGTTCTTTTCTGTGCTGACTTAATCATGTAGGTTAAATCATATTAACTTTAAAACAACTTCTTCACTTTGCTTGTAATTTCAGGGTCTTTGAAAACTCTAGAATCTAGAGTTGTGTTTTCTTCTCTTAGGAAGTTCTTCCAATCCTAACAACACATTAGCATTGTAGGGCATGAAGTAGTAGGACGAGTTCAAAAAAACTGTACTAGGAAAGCAGAGGCATAATTCTAGAGGCAGGGGTGTTAAAACAACTAGTGAGACTCGGGATGAGGTTGGGTGCCTCTATCAGTTATCTACTGCTGCATAACCAACTACCCCAAAACTTAGTGGCTAAAAGCAAACCTGCACTTTGGGCAGGACTGTGAGATCAGGTCTTCTCTATCCCACGTGGTGTTGGGTGAGGCTTATCGATCCACTTTCAAGATGGCTGGCAAGATGGTGCTGGCTGTCAGTTAGGTTGGGCCAGCGTAACTAGGGCCCTCAGTTCTACCCACAGGCTGCTTCTGCTTGCTCTTGGTTTGGTGGCTGGCTTTTAAGAGTGAGCATCCAGAGAAGGAAGTTTTGTGTTGAGAAACTGGCAGTGTCACTTCTATATTTTATTGATCAATCGCAAAGATCAAATTCAAGGAAATTTGGACCCAGGTTGTCACATGTTTTAAAACCTCCACTGTGTAATTAAGAATGTGGACAAAGCCTATGAGTACATAGGAACAAGAATTTACCAACATTGGGAATGTGGGAAACAGCGGATCCTGGAGACAGGGTGTGCAGGAAAGGCGGCCTCCAAAGAAAGCCATCAGCCAGGAGGCTGGGTATGTGGAAGTCAGCTGAACAGAGGTAAAAACAAGGCCAGGCAGAGGTTGGGAAGAACAAGTCACATGTTAGTAATCTGGTTGAGGATGGTAAAAAATCCAGCAGTTCAAGTTAAGAGGTTAAAGCAGACAATTAGAATCAAGAAGCAAGCACAAGAAAATAAGGCAATTCTAGAGAGGAAGGCAAACACAGGAGTCTAGGTCTAAAAAATATGAAGGAATCAGAAAGAAGCAAGTCAAGGAGTATAAAAACAGACAAGATTCAACACCAGGGGAGGGTGGGGAATACCTTCATGCATCCATTTGGCTGGACTGCTGTGAAATCTCAAGGTGCCTCCACTGAGCATCAAACACAGTGGGTCCCAGTTACTGAAGTGATCGCAGCATATCAATACATAATATGAATTAGTCAAACAAAGACACAAACATGTGAACTGCAGTTATTTCAAGTTGGGTTTTATTAGTTATTTCCAAATATCATAAATCATGCTTAGTTTTCCCTCTTTGATTTTGCTTTAGTGTTTAGACTTTCATCACTTAACAAATCCTTTACCATGAAAGCATTGATCAATCATAAAGTTCAAATTCAAGGAAATCAGAGAAGTTACATCAGTATTGTACTGACTGATTCCTTTATGGAAGTGAGGAAAATCCGCTAGAATCCAAGTACTAAAACACCAAGACTCCTTTACATAAGCCAAAGTTTTGTCCCATAGCCACTGTAAGCCAATGTCTTTTCATATTACCGTCAAGGTGAAAATGATTCAGAGCACCAACACAATTTTCTTGCTCATTCAGTCTAAAAATGTGAGTTTCTTGCATTATGGTTAAAACAAACACAAAACCAAATGCCAAAACAACCATAAGTTGGGAGGAAAGTAAGTCCCTCTGATTAGCTTGTAAGTTTGAATAGTTAAGTACCTCTCAACCAGTATTCCCCTTTCCCTAGACTTTAGGCAGCTATAAAAACAGGAAAAACAATGTGTATAATAAAAAGCAATAAAAATAAATATTTGAGGGCCTACTAAAATAGGCAATTTACACATTACATTTAATCCTCACAATACTGTGAGATTATAACTATTTTTACAAATAAGGAAGGAAGCAGGCTCAGAAGGGTGAAATGAATGGGGCCCAAGGTTATAAGGATGACCGAGTTGTGATTTATGTTCAGGTCTATGCTTACCAAGCCTATGCTTGGTTATGCTGCTCTGGCTCTCAAAAGCCCTTCAACTAGAGATTTGTTCTGTCTGGCTCTATTTTCTAAATTTATACTTTTAAATCCATAAAACTACTGAATAAAAATTTTTTTAAAAATTATTCTCAAACTAATAGCTAAAACAGGAGCTTACAAGGAATATTAGAAAACTTTTCAAGTAATCAGAACATTCCATACCTAAAATTGTGGTCATTTTAATTCACTGGTAATGATAGCCTGTAATCCAAAGACACATGAATAAATATAATTGGGTCATTTCCTTATTGTCACCATCTGTCAATCTCAAAGGAACACAGACCAAAACAAAGACAAATTCCTATTGTGAAATCTGAATGCTCATTAAATTTATACTATGCACTTAGCAGGATGCTGAGAGGTTCTGGTTTTAAAATCTTACCACCAGTGTTTTGTTCCAATTTTAAGAGTATACATTCTTTTTTAAAGTGTCTAAATCTGATAGAGATGGTAGGGCTCATTGGCAGATGGCTTTATTGATATAAGTCTGTGTAGTGTCCTAGAATTATGTAAGTCTAAGAGGGTAACTTTTACCACTCCACTGAAAGCAGTCATAGAGTTCCAGTAGAAATGGATTTATTTTATGGGTAATTAAGTTAAACCTAAACCTACACAATTAAAACAATGAAGGGGAAAAAACAAACAAACCATCCAATAACCTTAAACCTATGCAATCTGAACAGAAAACACATAATTGTCCACTGGGAACATCTTTGTATGTTCATTAAAGAGCTGTTAAATCTTAAATAATTGAAGTTATCTAGTTGTTCCTTATTCGAGTTCTGAGTGAAATTTAGTTTATTAATTTTAAAGAATTTTTTTTTAGTCCAATTCTAAAAACACTGTTTTCATATGTCAGGAAAAGTGGAAAGGGTGAAATTAGTTCATATGAAGGCCTCTTCTAGCATTAAAATAGCCATGCGTGACTTCTTTCTAGTCTGTTGTATCATCCATTCACTGACTCATACATTGAACACATTTTATGGAACACCAGTTATAAGAAGCAAAACTGAAAGAATAACAGATAGACATATAGGCTCATTAACTCTAGGAATACACTTAAGGGGTGATATGTTTGCGTCTTAAGGGAACTGGGTATCTTAATTTCTCAATGTTCCGGGCCTTCCAAGTTTTGCTGGGGTCTTTAGCCCTTATAAATGGAAATCAGAAAAAGACAATGAGTGTGAATATAATGTCTACCTGGCAGGAACTTTAAGGACAAAAACGGCTTACAGGAAAATAAAATTTAAAAAGGTAAAGTCCTGAAAATCTATGTATATAAAAATTAACCCAAATTATCTAGATTCATACGACTATAAAGCTTTATCATCTAAGTACCAAATGTTGAACCAATCCCTTTCCCCACAAAATACAAGCTCCTATACAATTCCTGTTATGGGGACTACTAGAAAGGAATATTCAGTTGAAAATACATAAACATATATTCATTTCCAACTTTTAAGATTTTGGGTAGAAAGTCATCAGAGTACAAGTGTAAAGATAATTTTCTTAAACATATTTTGATAAAGGCCATAGGAACACTTGTCACATTGTTCAAATGCCCAATAGCAAGACTCCTGATGAGATAGACCTAACAGGTCACAGTATATCAACAGAGTGTCTTAGAAAGAAAGCCAATATGACTAAACCCAAAAAGATCACATGAAGTAGCTCATGTACAATACAAACCTAGTTTAATAAATAAAGGAAACACAGGTGACTGCACTCTGAAGGACATTCAGTTCCTCGTGGCCCATTCACAGTCTTCTCTGAGACTCCACTGCCACTTCCACCTGGGCAAGTCTAATGGTGCGGCCATGCAGCTTGTAGCCGTCTTGCCTTACTAATGCCACCGTGCCAGGCTGCACCCCGTCAGCCGGCACATGACAGATGAGTTCATGCTCATGTGGGTCGTATTTGTCACCAATGGGGCTCATCTTCTCCAGGCCATGCTTGGCAAACACACTTTTCAGCTTTGCTTCTAAAAGGGACAATCCTCGGAAGATCTTCTCAAGGCTGAGCTTCTGGTCCCCAGGCTCTGTTTCTTCAGAAATGCTCTCTGTAGTCTTCTCCAAAATGTCTGCCACCTCTACCAAGTCCTTACAGAAACTCTGAA